TTTTGTATTTTTAGTAGAGATGGGGTTTCTCCATGTTGGTCTGGTTGGTCTCAAACCTCAAGTGATCTGCCTGCCTCTGGCTCCCAAAGTGCTGGGATTACAGGGTGAGCCACAGCACCCAGCCTTATTATTATTTTTTGAGATGAAGTCTCACTCTGTTGCCCAGGCTGGAGTGCAGTGGTGCAATCTTGGCTCACTGCAACCTCTGCCTCCTGGGTTCAAGTCATTCTCCTGCCTCAGCCTCCCAAGATGTTTGGACTACAGGTACACACCAAATTTAGGCTGGGAGCAGTCACTCATGCCTCCAGGGTTGAACTTCTGCCTTCTGGGTTCAAGCCATTCTCCTGCCTCAGCTTTCTGAGTAGCTGGGATTACAGGCATGCACCACCACACCTGGCTAATTTTTGTATTTTTAGTAGATGGGGTTATACCATGTTGGTCAGGCTGGTCTCCAATTCCTGACCTCAAGTGATCCGCCTGCCTTGGCCTCCCAAAGTGCTGGGATTACAGGTGTGAGCCACCATGTAAAGATTTCATATTAGAAGAGTTTCTTATCTGTTGTTAATGACTTACCACCAGAGGAAAGCAAGCATCGTTCTTTTTCAAAATAAGTTTTACCTATTTATTTATTTATTTATCTATTTTTGAGACGGTGTCTCACCCCGTCACCCAGGCTGGAGTGTAGTGGCGTGATCTTGGCTCACTGCAACCTCTTGCCTCCTGTGCTCAAGCAAGTCTTCAAGCAAGCCTCAGCCTGAAGTACCTGGGACTACAGGTGCACACCACCACACCCAGGTAATTTTTGTATTTTTAGTAGAGACAGGTTTTCACCATGTTGGCTAGGGGAGTCTCGAACTCCTGGTCTCAAGTGATCTGCCCACCTCATCCTCCCAAAATGATGGGATTATAAGTGTGAGACACACTGCCCAGCCAATTTATACTTTATAAACACTTCAGGAGTTAAGAAAAGGGGATCAGCCTGGCGAGGTGGCTCATGCCTGTAATCCCAGCACTTTCAGAGGCCGATGCAGGTGGATCATGAGGTCAGGAGTTTGAGACCAGGTTGACCAACATGGTGAAACCCTGTCTCTACTAAAAAAATATACAAAAAATTAGCCGTGAGTGGTGGCAGGCTCCTGTAATCCCAGCTACTCAGGAGGCTGAGGCAGGAGAATCTCTTGAACGTGGGAGGTGGAGATTGCAGTGACAGAGTAAGACTCCATCTCAAAAAAAAAAAAAAAAAAAAAAAAAAGGCCGGCACAGTGGCTCATGCCTGTAATCCCAGCACTTTGGGAGGCCAAGGCAAGCGGATCACCTGAGGTCAGGAGTTTGAGACCAGCCTGACCAACATGGAGAAACACCATCTCTCCAAAAAATACAAAATTAGCCAGTGTGGTGGTACATGCCTGTAATCCCAGCTATTTGGAAGGCTGAGGCAGGAGAATCACTACCCAGGAGGCGGAGGTTGCTGTGAGTTAAGATCCCACCATTGCACTCCAGCCTAGGCAACAAGAGCGAAACTCTGTCTCAAAAAAAAAAAAAAAAAAGAAAAAGAAGGGGGGATTGTGGTTTTAGTCAGACCCTTGCTGGCCTCCGACTTCCAGCACGTCGAGTTGTGAAGAGAAAACTCAGTGTGAGGGGTCACCAGGGGAGAGGCAGCCAACCCCGCTAGAAGCATAGAACATTTCTCAAAGAAAATTGGACAAAGCACCATGTAGACATTTGAGTTTTGAACACAGATTAAAGTGGCAACGAGGTTTTCCCAGTCATCCTTATCTCCAATGGGGATGACTAAAGTTCATTCCTTCTGTGAAATCGATTGAAGTAATTTTCATGACCATTAATCTCTTCCGACTGCAGTTCTTCCTCCTCTTCCTCGCGGGCCTTCTTCATTTCTTCCTTGGCCTGTATGGCATCCATCTCCCTTTCTGGACCCTGGAGAAAGAAACAAAAACAAAAGCCCAGAGGCCAGGGGTTATGCTTCCATGTAGTCAAATGCGTGGCAGTACTCAGGGGATCCCTGCCTTCTAGAAGCCTCCACACCACCTGGGATAGGCTGAATAAGAAGAGTATAAAGATTTCATGTCCTGGACAGGCTCAGTGGCTCACACCTGTAATCCCAGCACTTTGGGAGGCTGAGATGGGCAGATGATGAGGTCAGGAGTTTGAGACCAGCATGGTCAACATGGAGAAACCCCATCTCTACTAAAAATACAAAAATCAGCCGGGTGTGGTGCCGTGCGCCTGTAATCCCAGCTACTCAGGAGACTGAGGCAGGAGAATTGCTTGAACCTGGGAGGCGGAGGTCTCAGTGAGCCGAGATCACACCATTGCACTCCAGCCTGGGTGACAGAATGAGAATCCATCTCAAAAAAAAAAAAAAAAAATTTCATGTCCTAATCTCTGGAACCTTTTGTTTTTTTTGAGACGGAGTTTCGCTCTTGTTACCCAGGCTGGAGTGCAATGGCGCGATCTCAGCTCACCGCAACCTCCGCCTCCTGGGTTCGGACAATTCTCCTGCCTCAGCCTCCCGAGTAGCTGGGACTACAGGCACGCGCCACCATGCCCAGCTAATTATTGTATTTTTAGTAGAGACGGGGTTTCACCATGTTGACCAGGATGGACTTGATCTCTTGACCTCGTGATCCACCCGTCTCGGCCTCCCAAAGTGCTGGGATTACAAGCGTGAGCCACCACGCCCGGCCTTCTGGAAACTTTTAATGTTAATCTTACCTGGGGCTAGGTGCAGTGGCTCACGCCTGTAATCCCAGCACTTTGGGAGGCTGAGGCAGGTGAATTACCTGAGGTCAGGACTTCGAGACCAGCCTGACCAATATGGTAAAACCCCGTGTTTACTAAAAATACAAAAACTAGCTGGGCATGGTGGCATGTGCCAGCTACTTGGGAGGTTGAGGCAGGAGAATGACTTGAACCTGGGAGGCGGAGGTTGCAGTGAGCAGAGATTGTGCCACTGCACTCCAGCCTGAGTGACAAAGCCAGACTCCATCTCAAAAAAAAAAAAAAAAATTACACAACTAAATTAATGATGTAGGAAGAGTTAATCATGTGCTTCATACCTTGGTTTCGCCCCAGGTGGCCTTGCCAAAATTATCTGCATACTCTTCATCATCTGTGATCAGAAAGTTATCGAAAATGGTTCCAGATCTCACCTGCAGATAAAAAAAAAGGCCTTCATTATTATGTTTTTATTCCTTTTTTTTTTTTTTGAGACAGAGTTTCACTTTTATTGCCCAGGCTGGACTGCAATGGCGTGATCTCAGCTCACTGCAACCTCCACCTTCCAGGTTCAAGTGATTCCTGCCTCAGCCTCCTGAGTAGCTGGGATTTCAGGTGCCCACCACCACACCCAGCTGATTTTGTATTTTTAGTAGAGACGGGGTTTCACCATGTTCGCCAGGCTGGTCTCGAACTCCCAATCTCAGATGATCTGCCCACCTTGGCCTCCCAAAGTGCTGGGATTACAGGCGTGAGCCACTGCTTCCAGTGCTTTTATTCTTTATTATTTGTTTATTTTTCATTTCTTTTTTCCTTTGAAAGTATATGAAACTCAGGTGAATTTTTTTTATTTTTTAAGAGATGGGGTCTTGCTATTTGCCTAGGCTGGATTTGAACTTCTGGACTTGGCTGGGCATGGTGGCTCACACCTGTAATCCCAGCACTTTGGGAGGCTGAGGCGGGTGAATCACTTGAGGTCAGGAATTCAAAACCAATCTGGCCAACATGGTGAACCCTGTCTCTAGTGAAAATACAAAAAGTATCAAATGTGGTGGTGCATGCCTATAGTCCCAGCTACTCGGGAGGCTGAGGTGGGAGGATTGCTTAAATCTGGGAGGTAGAGGCTGCAGCGATCTGAGATTGTGCCACTGCACTCCCACCTGGGTTACAGAGTGCGACTCTGTCTCAAAAAAAAAAATGAACTTCTGGGCTCACATGATCCTCCCACCTCAGCTTCCCCAGTAGCTAGGACTGCTACAGGCATGAACCATACTGTTCCTGGGTACTAGCCTTCATTATTGATGTGACATATATAACAACTTTTCAAATATAAACAGTAGTATTTTGCTCAGTACTGTGTATTGTAACAGCAATTAGAATAGTAGGTGGTACCAGGCATGGTGGCTCACGCCTGTAATCCCAGCACTTTGGGAGGCCGAGGCCAGCAGATCACCTGAGGTCAGAAGTTCAAGACCAGCCTGACCAACATGGAGAAACTCCGTCTCTACTAAAACTACAAAATTAGCTGGGCGTGGTGGTGCATGCCTGTAATCCCAGCTACTCGGGAGGCTGACGCAGGAGAATTGCTTGAACCCAGAAGGAGAAGGTTGCGGTGAGCCGAGATTGTGCCATTGTACTCCAGCCTGGGTGACAAGAACAAAACTCTGTCTCAAAAAAAGAATAGTAGGTGGTGCTTAAACCCATTTCTAGAATATCCTTTCCCTCTAGGGCACTGGTTCCTCACACTTGGCTACACATTGGGTTCACCAAAACCTTTTTTTTTTTTAGACCAAGGAGACAAAGTGTTGCTCTGGTTTTTTTTTGTTATTGTTTGTTTGTTTTGAGATGGAGTCTTGCATTGTCACCCAGGCTGGAGTGCAGTGGCGCAATCTTGGCTCACTGCAACCTCCACTTCTCAGGCTCAACTGATTCCTCCCAGGTTTAGAAGATTCTCCTGCCTCAGCCTCCTGAGTAGCTGGGACTACAAGCATGCACCACCACACCTGGCTAATTTTTGTATTTTTAGTAGAGACGGGGTTTTACTGTTAATGTTAGCCAGCATGATCTCCATCTCCTGACCTCACGATCTGCCCCTCTTGGCCTCCCAAAGTGCTGGGATTACAGGCATGAGCCACCTCGCCCACTGGGATCACCACAACATTAAAAAAAAAAAAAAAAACAACCTCCCAGCACTTTGGGAGGCTGAGGTGGAAGGATTGCTTGAGCCTGGGAGTTCCAAATTCGCCTAGACAACATAGTGAGATCCTTATTTCTCAAAAACAAAATCTGGGTGTGATGGCTTGTACCTGTAGTTCTAGCTCCTTGGGAGGCTGAGGGGGAAGGATCTTTGGGTCCAGTCTGAGGCTGCAGTGCTAGGATCAGGCCACTGCACTCCAGCCTAGGTGACAGAATGAGACGCAGTCTCAAAAAAGAAACAGAACAAAACACACACACACACACAAACTAAAGCAAATTTAAAACCAAATGACCTGCCAAAGCTCCAGGCCGATGGCACCGATGTTCTCAAATTCCGAGAGATCGTACTGTGTCAGATAGTTGGTATTCTTCATTTTATGGTGGAGCCAAATGTCTCTATCAATACCTTGCGGTTTCAGGCCATCCTGTATCAAAAAAAAAAAAAAAAAAAGAGTATGGTCTCAATGACATGGGCAGGGGAGGAGCATCCCTGGGGCATCCCTGGAATCATGCAAAAAGGCCACACACCTGGCGCGGGGGCTTCTGGAGCATTGCGGTCTGCCAGTCCCCATCCAGTTCACCATTCCAGTCACTCTGCCTGCTGGCGCTGGCGTCCAGAAAATGCTTCTCCCAGTCCTTCACAGACATGTAAGGAAAAAGGAAAATCAGTCAGATGCTCATATATTTGTTGTCGTTGCTTCTGTTTTTGTTTTCTTTCTTTCTTTTTTTTTTTTTTTTGAGACGGAGTCTCACTCTGTCGCCCAGGCTGGAGTGCAGTGGTGCAATCTTGGCTCACTGCAACCTCCGCCTGGGTTCAAGCGATTCTTTTGCCTCAGCCTCCCGAGTAGCTGGAACCACAGGCGTGTGCCACCACGCCTGGCTAATTTTTGTATTTTTAGTAGAGACGAGGTTTCACCATGTTGGCCAGGATAGTCTCGATCTCTTGAACCCGTGATCTGCCCACCTCGGACTCCCAAAGTGCTAGGATTACAGGTGTGAGCCACCATGCCTGGCCTGTTTTTGTTTTCTGAGATTAGGTTTTGCTCTCACCCAGGCTGGAGTGCCATAGTATAATCATGGCTCACTGCAGTCTCAACCTCCTGGGCTCCAGGGATCCTTCTGCCTCAACCTCCTGAGTAGCTGGGACTACAGGCACCCATCACCTTGCCTGCCTCCTATTTTGATGTTTTGTACAGTCAGGGTCTCCCTCTGTTGCTCAGCCTGGTCTCAAACTCCTGGGCTCAAGCAATGCTCCTGCCTTGACCTCCAGAAGTGCTGGTATTGCAGGCATGAGCCACTGTACCCAGCCAGATGCTCAGATACGAGGAAGGAATTTTTTTTTTTTTTTTTTTTTTTTTGAGATGGAGTCTCTCTCTGTCACCTAGGCTGGAGTACAGTGGCACGATCTCTGCTCACTGCAACCCCTGCCTTCCAGTTCAAGCGATTCTCTTGACTCAGCCTCCTGAGTAGCTGGGACTATAGGCACCCACCACTATGCCTGGCTAATTTTTGTATTTTTAGTAGAGATGGGGTTTCGTCATGTTGGCCAGGATGGTCTCAAACTCCTGACCTCAGGTGATCCACCCACCTCGGCCTCCCAAAGAGCCGGGATTACAAGTGTGAGCCACTGCACCCAGCCAAGACCATAAATTCCTAGATGCCAAGAGGCAGGCATAGGCTGGTGACCCCTGTCCCAGTGTCCCTCTCCCTTCTTCAATTTGGTGGTTAGGAGGCCGAGTGCTTGGTGTTTCCAATCCCACTGAGGGCTTCAGGGCAACACTAGACTGCCTAATTTTTTCTCCCTAACCTGCCACCATACGACCTCAGCCTTTTCCCCATGCTGTGGAGAGGAGCGGCGGTATAGAAAACCTCAAGTAGTGGCCAGGGTGAAAATGATGGTGCAAAAAGTGAGGGTGATGGCGGGGGGCGGTGGCTCACGCCTGTAATCCCAGCACTTCGGGAGGCCAAGGCAGGCAGATCACCTGAGTTCAGGAGTTCGAGACTAGCCTGACCAACATGGTGAAACCCTGGGAGATGGAGGTTGCAGTGAGCTGAGATCACACCACTGCACTCCAGCCTGGGTGACAGAGCTAAACTCTGTCTCAAAAACAACCAACTCTTTTTTTTTTTTTTTTAAAGACAGCGTTTCACCATGTTGGCCAGGCTGGTCTTGAACTCCTGACCTCAGGTGATCCGCCTGCCTCAGCCTCCCAAAGTGCTGAGATTACAGGGGTGAACCACCACGCCCGGCCAACAACCAACTCTTTTATGATACCCAGATGTGTAGAGATGTGGCTGGTCTCCATTGTGTGCTCTGGGGAGGGCATTTGGTGGTACAATATTGCCATCGTGGCTGCCAGCCATGCAGCAATTGTCCAGTAACTGGGTACTTACAAACCATATTTGTGCACTTTCTTTTTTTTTTTTGAGACCGAGTCTCACTCTGTCACCCAGGCTAGAATGCAGCGGCACAATCTCAGCTCACTACAACCTCCACCTCCCAGGTTCCAGCAATTCTCCTGCCTCAGCCTCCTGAGTAGCTGGGCTTACAGGTGTGTGCCACCACACCCGGCTAATTTTTGTATATTTTAGTAGAGACGGGGTTTCACCATATTGGCTATGCTGGTCTTGAACTCCTGACCTCATGATTCGCCTGCCTTGGCCTCCCAAAGTTCTGGGATTACAGGCGTGAGCCACCGTGCCGGGCCTATTTGTGCATTTTCTAGAGTTGCGCAGGAAAAATTCACACCTGGGCTTTGTTGTCTTCAGTTAGCTTCCGGTCCTTCGATTCTGCCAGGGACTTTTCCTTCTTGAGTGATGTTAAGTTCCAATCATACTCTATGCTGCCGGATTCAATCGACTGGCCGTCAATTTTCACATCATAAGAAAGATCTGGTCTTAAAATTAGAGTGTAGAGGTGTGTAAAGCCATCAACCTGCACATTTTAGGGGGAAAAGCATAACAAACCCTCAATTCCTTTTTTTTTTTTTGAGATGGAGTCTCGCTCTGTTGCCCAGGCTGGAGTGCAGTGGCGCAATCTCAGCTACTGCAACCTCTGCCTCCTGAGTTCAAGCGATTCTCCTTCCCTCAGCCTCCGGAGAAGCTGGGATTACCAGCACCTGCTACCATGCCTGGCTAATTTTTTGTATTTAGTAGAGTTTCATCATGTCAGCCAGGCTGGTCTGGGACTCCTGAACTCAGGTGATCCACCTGCCTTGGCCTCCCAAACTGCTGGGATTATAGGTGTGAGCCACTGTGCCTGGCCAACCATCGATTTTTTTTTTTTTTTTTTTTGAGATGGAGTTTTGCTCTTGTTGCCCAGGCTAGAGAGAAATAGGGTGATCTTGGCTCACTGCAACCTCCACCTCCCAGGCTCAAGCGATTCTCCTACCTCACCCTCCCAAGTAGCTGACATTACGGGCATTCACCACGACGCCTGGCTAATTTTTTGTATTTTTAGTAGAAATGAAGCTTCTCCATGTTGTTCAAGCTGGTCTCAAACTCCTGACCTAAGGTAATCCACTTGCCTTGGCCTCCCAAAGTGCTAGGACTACAGGCATGAGCCACCACACCCCGCCCCTCAATGTTTTAATGCAGGTCTAAATATGCAGCATGTATGTATGTATGTATGTATGTATGTATGTATTTTAGAAACAGGGTCTCACTCTGTTGCCCAGGCTGGAGTGCAGTGGTGCAATCACAGCTCACTGCAGCCTTGACCTCCCGGGCTCAAGTGATCCTTGAATCTCAGCCTCCTGAGTAGCTGGGACCACAGGTTCCTAGCACTACACCTGGCTAATTTTTGTATTTTTTGTAGTGACAGGGTTTCACCATGTTGCCCAGGCTGGTCTGGAACTCCTTGGCTCAAGTGATTCTCCTGTCTCAGCCACCCAAAGTGTGGGGATTAGAGGTGTGAGCCACTGCGCCAGGCCATTTCTCCAGAATGCTTTTTCATCCTAAATATTTCATTCATGAATGAGGATGGATGTGGCTGAAATGAGGATGGATGTGACTGTCCTATTGTAACCCTCCTAGGGCAAATGATGATACGTCAGAGCTCACAGTAAAAAATGAGAGTGCCCTCCTCTCATTTTGGGGTAAAGACTTCAGGAAACCAGTCAAGAAGACAAGTATCTCTGACGGGCCCCTAAACTGGAAACCGGGAATAGGAGGTATGTTTACAAAGACCCACCCCTGGCTCAGTTAAGTATCTTACGATCAAAACTATTTTCTCTAAACTGAGTTATCATCAGGCAAGAGTTAACACTCATTTATTTGTATACAAGAGCACTTACCTTACACCTGATTGATTTCTTGTTTTCATGATACTGATTCTTGAAATGTAAAATAACATGAACTTTCTTGATATCAAATCCACAGATATCGGGTCCTACAAAAAAAAATTAGCAGTTCTCATTTTCTTTCCATAATGCATCACCATGGAATAGCCACCCCATAACCATTCTTCTTTTTCTCTCTTTTTTTTCTTGAGACAGTTCTGCTCTTGTTGCCCAGGCCGTAATGCAGTGGTACGATCTCAGCTCACCACAACCTCTGCTTCCCGGGTTCAAGCAATTCTCCTGCCTCAGCCTCCCAGTAAACTGGGATTACAGGTATGTGCCACCACGCCTGGCTAATTTTGTATATTTGGTAGAGACAGGTTTTTCCATGTTGGTCAGGCTGGTCTTGAACTCCCTACCACAGGTGATCCACCTGCCTTGGCCTCCCAAAGTGTTGGGATTACAGGCGTGAGCCACTGCGCCCAGCCCATTTTTCTTAAATATAATCAGGTACAATCCAATAATCAGATATTCACACTAAGTTATTTATTTATTTATTTTCGAGACAGAGTCTCGCTCTGTTGCCCAGGCTGGAGTGAAGTGGTGCAATCTCGGCTCACTGCAATCTCCACCTCACAGGTTTAAGTGATTCTCCTGTGTCAACCTCCCAAGTAGAGTTAGCTGTGATTACAGGCATGCACCACCATGCCCGGCTAATTTTTGTATTTTTAGTAGAGATGGGGTTTTGCATTGTTGGCTAGGCTAGTCTCAAACTACTGACCTCTGGTGATTCACCTGCCTTGGCCTCCCAAAGTCCTGGGATTACAGGTGTGAGCCACTGCACCTGGTCACATGTGCAAATATCTTACTGCTGTTAAAGGACAATGTCCTAGCTTTCCACTCATTTCTTAGTGTGTTCTGAAGCTTATTTAAATATTCAGTGGCCTGTAATCCCAGCACTTTAGGAAGCCAAGGTGTGGGGATCCCTTGAGGCCAGGAGTTCAAGACCAGCCTCACCAGCATGGTGAAACCCCATCTCTACTAAAAATACAAAAATTAATGAGAATGGTGGTGTGCACCTATAGTCCCAGCTACACAGGAGGCTGAGGTGAGAGGATCAGTTGAACCCAGGAGGTGGAGGTTGGAGGTTGCAGTGAGCTGAGAGCTGGGCCACCGCACTCCAGCCTGGGTGGCAGAGCAAGACTCCATCTCAATTAAAAAAAAAATGCTGGCTGGGCGTAGTGGCTCACACCTGTAATCCCAGCACTTTGGGAGGCTGAGGCAGGCAGATCACGAGGTCAGGAGTTTGAGACCAGCCTGGCCAACATGGTGAAACCCTATCTCTGCTAAAAATACAGATCGGGCACGGTGGCTCATGCTTGTAATCCCAGAACTTTGGGAGGCCGAGGCAGGCAGATCACAAGGTCAAGAGATCGAGACCATCCTGGCCCACATGGCGAAACCCTATCTCTACTAAAAAGTACAAAAATTAGCTGGG